AACGCGTCCGTGGCAACTAATAGGCTAAACGGCAAATAAACTGTTCTGCACCGTATTCAAGAAGCACCTATTCCATTTGTTGGTGGAATAGAGGGGGAAAAGGTTGAGTGATAAAAGGTGTGCCTAGCCATTGTCTTTTCTTGGAGCTTTAAAATCCATTTACCAAATCGAAATTAATGCACTTTGTAGGTGGTTGATTGCACTCACACCTCTTTATAAGCCAAGTCAAACTTGACTAGCCAATTACAACATCACCGGCTCTATTAACTCGGCCGTATAGATGGCGGATTGCACCCATCAATTTTGATGCCCCTCTGACTTCATTTGCACATTCATCTCTGTAAATTATATGACGTTTAATGCAGACCTAAATTTGTGGGCCTATCGAAAGTCTAGATTTCAGGATTAGCCTCTGAAGTACTCGTGGACTTGTTTCAACTTTTACTCGACGCCTGTGGTGTAGTTCTTGTGCGAAAGTAATTGCCAGTGTAATAGAACCATAGTTGAACAGCTTCCTTTATATCAACACTGGTACAGAAGCCTTGATGAAGCTACATGCCTCTATTGCTTTCGTTAGGTTTTCGATTCCAGATTGAAGTAATATGCTAATGTACCGTTGCTTGTACTAATAAGATCTGAAATGCTCTTTCCTTCCTTGCAGCAAGTTTTTCCTACCCTTAACGAGGAGTAGCGCCTTGGTTAACTAAGAACACACATAGCATGCGCTTGATGCTCTACTTTAGGTATCGCTACATCCAGAATCATACCTAGTAGAAACGTTGACAACAAATGTCCTAGTGTCGATGGGTGCCATCATTATCATTGCATGAGGTTTACTATAGGTCCTCTGTACATTCTACTCAATATCCACGGGTCCAAGTTTTAAGCAATTTGCAGCAAGAAGCTTGATTCATCATCACCACCTGCTTCATAAATGCATGTGATCAGAGTCATTGTCTGACGCCTTAATTAGCGGTACTTAGACTAGTTTGGCTAACAGCACGTCTGCTGGACGATGCAAGTAGCAAATGGATAAACTAGGTGCTACGGTAGCATCCCTTTTCATAAGTACAAATTTGACAGTCTTAATTAACCCAGAATGCTCCTTTTTATGTCAGGCGTTTCATTTAATTCAGAAAGGTATTGGCAATCAGCACCTGGAATTATGCAGAAAAAAAGCAAAAATGTGTAAGCTTCACGCTTTTAACGCCATTTCAAATCCGCAGAACCTTATCTAAAAACAATGGTAGCGAAATGTACCATAAGAAGTCGTCCTTAAACCAAGGAAACAAGTGCCGGGGAATAATTTGCTCTCTTCATGAAGACCTACATGTCACTGTCAATTTGGATTACATCAGGATTGAAGTGCCAAGAGCTATCTTTAAGAATAACCAATGTTGGCGTTATGTTATATCGTCTACTCTTACGTCAAGCGGAAAAGTCGCGGTCTCAAAGAAGTTGTGCATGAAAAGGGATAGATTCTTCTGATAGGCCTCCTTCACCATATAATAGTCCCGTTTTAGACTGCCTACCTAGTGATTTATGATGTCTTTAAACAACCAAGTTTTATAAGTGCATAAGCATTTAGCTAACAATCTACAAACTACTCATTCTTTGCCCTCTACCTCCAAGGAAAGCCGCATTTTATTCCTAGAAGACTGTGATTTCTTGTTGATTACGTGTGAGCGTGGTTCTTGACCGTCAAAATATCAAATGCTCGTCTAAATGTGCCCTACAGATATGGCTGAAATCTAACAGGAAAAACCCGACTTAAATATCATATATGACGCGCTTTTCTCCTCCATTTTATTTATTTTTTGCTATCGCCTAATGTTCCATCCTATAATGAGTCGAGATTACTTGTGATGCACACAGGCTACATGCGACAAGCAGTGGCATGCGACGTCCACATACTCTCTGCTAACATCTCCCTCTGTCTTGGTATTCATTAGTGGACTAATCCTTGAGGTAATGCAATTCGAGGCCGACCCGTGGACGGGGTTGAGCAAGCTCACAGCACCCTTCCTGGTTGGAAAAATACAGGTAATTTCATTGGTCCCAAATTAGGGACCGTTGCAGAAATTACACTGCAAAGAACAGATACTACGCCTGATCGTAACTCAGTGAGCCGAGAAGCGATAGGCACGCGCGGTCACCCAAACTACTTCCACGGCTAGCTCTCACTTGCTCCCAACCTACCATGCTACTGCTACTTAGCATTTCCCAGCGTCTTTTTTGCCTGTCTATCTTGTTTTCATCCTGAACTTGAGTGGTGGCATCTAATTGCACACATTTGTGAATACTTCACCTCTCATGCTGATAACACTGCTAATATTATCTAGCTACATCAATGCCTGTACTTCGATGCGCCCTGGTCCTCTTCTTCACCTTCCATTCCTTGCATCATTCGCTCTTCTGCTGGTGCTGACAACACAATCTGGCGCTCTTACGCCTCCCCCCGGTCATAGGCTATCACGGCAGCATAAGGAATAATCTTGGAATTGTCAGCAACTGCGCTTTATTTGGCTCGAATGCGTCAGCGGGGCCTTTAAGTTACTTGTCAGTGAGTTCTATTCGCTCGATCAACCTCTTGACGAGGACCAGGCTTGAAAAAGATACTCACTCAGTTCTTCTGTATGATGTCTACAAGGTGTGAACACTAAATTACGAGTGTTTTCTGTTTCTGATTAACTTTGTTTGGGTACCAGCGAGTGACACCGGAGTAGTAGAACTGAAAATGTCCAACCCCACCAAAATTTTCGTAAGGGTACGCAGGGGCCTCCTACTGCCAGATTAGAGAGGGTGCCCAGGATGTAACACATCCAGCGATGCATTAATTCTAGTGGTATATTTGGTGACCTCGCAACACCATTCGCTACCTAGACAGCGGTTGACATTGCACTAACACTCCTTTATTATAGAGGGAAGGACCTAGCTGTCACTGCATGGTCCTGATTCAATGTATTTGCCAGGCATAGTTAAACCACGATCAAAAGAGAGCTGGTAAAACCTTGAGGAATCTGGGTGCGATTTTCACACCTTGGGTTCTCCATTGTTATCTTTGTAACCTACCAGATTCTATTGTAGGCAGAATGTCTGTTTATATTCCTAATGATTCTTTTTTGTTCGGTGCACTTATCCTACTCGCTCACTCAATTTCTCTCTACTTTTATAAACTACAGCAGACAAGGTCACTGTCGTGCAGGAAAGTAAAATGATGGAATTAATCAACAAACACCAAAACATGATTTAGCTCTATGTCACCAGCAATAACAATGGTAGGTTGGATCTGTTTTGTGCCATCGAGTGATATAATGCACTAGGTGGTCGGTTACGTCGGCGGATTTTCGGTGTCACCTGTAGGCAATAGCAATCATTTATCTTATGGATGTACTGCTATTGGGTCGACAATCATTCGTGTTTTAATAATGGCTTAAACCTTTTGGGTCTTATAAGAATAGGCTTGTAATTTGCACTAGCTTAAGATAAAACCATACGGGTATAATTCTTTTTAACTATAGAACCTTGGAGGAGCCAAAATGCAGGCATTTCATTCCTCGGTCGTCCGGTGACGATAATGGAGCAAGCTGAAGAAGATAGTTTGTTTGACTACCTCTGACAAAATGGCTCTTGACTAACAACTTAACTACGCCAGATGACGTACGGATGCAGTTAAGAGACACCCTAAATGCTATTTCGTCGGCGTACGCAACCGACCGTAAAGAGACTCATTCCAATCAATTAGGACTTACACGCTGTGTCATGATAGAACTCTAGGCGTCCACCCTTCAGTCGAGGTTGCATTGACAAAAATCATTTGACAGATGTACGAACCAACATACTTGACGACATGGAAATCTATTTTGAGACAAATACACTCTTGCCACCTCTCAATGATGGTGTAGAAATTGTTTTCTAGAAAGGATATGACTGTAAGTGGTGTAGGTATTCACCTGGAAATGACCCTAGACATCAAGCTTAGGTGTAGTGAGAAGCTGTTGTTTTAATTTCTTATTAATTTAAAAAGCCACCACTACGGAGAACACACCGTTCGCATATGACATACTTAAATATTTGGTATTTAAAAGGGAAGTCTAGTAGGTTATCATTGTTGAAATTCTTCATGCTGCATGAATGCCTATTCAACTGCCACTTCTCTGTTAGCGTGAGACGTTAATATCAATAAGCCTTAGCTAAACAACCCGCATTCATTGCACCTGCGTAGCTCTTCTTAAGGACAAATTCAATGCTAAGAGCAGTGTCCTCAGACGTGCCAGAGGACACAATTTGCCCCTATGCCATGCAAGCATATACTAACTTCATCCCCTTCACCCAGACTACTATTTGTTTACCTGACTGACGAACAATAACTACTCTGCTCAAATGTGGTAATGTCGCATTCGATATCGATATCGGGCAATACACGCCAATGGATATCGCGACTGCCTAAATCTGTGGCAAAATGAGAAGCCAGCAGCATACCGGTGAACACCTTCTGAATACGGTTTTCATTTGTGCATCCGACTTCACAGAATGGTGAACATGATCCAAGTTGCTCCATCAGGCGTGACAAGTCATGACAGTAAGAGAAGATGCCGCTACTGATATTTCTACAGGGGAAACTGTATAGACTGCAGACAATTTGCAAAAATGCTGTTTTAGTTTTATTTTTCAGAATATCTTGCGGGTGACTTTTCTCCAAAGTAGAGGGAATTCTCGGAACTCGTCGTATCACTGAGTCTCAACAGTTGTGTCAGTAGTCAAGAGGATAGTGGCTTGAAGTGTGCTGATAGCCACAACCATGCCAAACGCAATCAGCACATCATAGGCAGGCAATTCAGCCATCTACCCCATATATACTATCGCGGGGTATCACTCGCAAGCCTCGTTGGAATAAGGGGCATGTCTTCAAACTCGTTTAGCAGATTTCATAGGAGGGGCATTTATTCAAAGGGGGAATAAAAAAATGAGGCTGCTTTATTTTGGAATTAACATATCTAAATTATCTAAAATTATTGAAATTATCGAAAATTAAATTATGCTACTACCCCATCTCCAATATTTAAGAACTGAGAAATAGTAAAATAAAGCAAAAATACGATACTCACTTGAGATGCTCTACTGCCCCAAAGCAAATTACTGTAAGCACACAAGTTGTAAAAATACCTGCTTTTGTGTAGAACTCCTATATTTATGCACATACGTTTATGTGCATCGTGATGTTGAATGGTTCAATAAGTATATTGTAGAGGATAATTTTTTTACTCTAAATCCACTTTAATAGATTTTCTTAAACGAACCTAAGAGAACTATGAAGAGGATTTTTTGTTCATTTCAATTGAGTAGATACTTTTACGTAGACTTGACAGGTTTTCGCCTCTACAACTGTATATGTATGTACATGTGAACTCGCCTTCTTCCCTTGGCATCACTCACTCAGTTTCAAGCCCATCTTGAATGCATTGAAGTCCACCATTACCACTTGGTGGAGCTAGTCCTGATTTATTTATTGGTGACGAAACTTCAGATAAGCTGCTTCCTTAAATATGCGTATAATGCTTCCAAACTATAATAAATGTTATCAAGCGACTCCTTCTCCTGCTTTTACCTACTGATAGGATGACCGACAGCAGCCGCAGCCAAAGCCACAGTCTACCAGACAAACAGGAACCTTCTTCCATGCTGCTATTCAAGAACCCCTCAGTGAAGCACACTGATGGAATTGAATAGTGAATGCAGCCCAAAATGCCTACTATTCCGACTGCTTTAGCTGTTCACCATACGCTTTTGAAACGAAAGGAAAACAACCACTAAGAATAGCTGAAGCATGAGGGACTCCACAGACGAGTTGTGGAGTCAGGCAGGTAGGTAGCAAGAGAAGGGACATGAATTGTAATTTTGGAAGAGAGTAGCATGAAGGAAATGAGTGCGCGTTTTAAGGCAACACTTTTAAGCACTTGCTCCTACGCGCAGTGATCGTGACATGGGATGCAATCGGTGAGGAGCGTCGCGCAGCCCCAAACAGCACAGATGTGGTAAACACTCATCACTAAATTCTACTCACACAGGAGTCAAGACTTTGAATATGAAGGAGTAGACAGAATGCCTTCTTGCCTCCATGTAAATGTGGTGACCTCTATTACCTGTTAGGGTGAAGTTTTATACACCTACTACGTTGCAGTGGGTGATGTGACTAAGAGGAGCGATACCGTGGTATCGTGTCTCTTCAATCGTACCTTTAATGACACTGGCTTATCAGTCTTCGTGATTTGTACGACTGTAACTTTCAGCATATCTCTCCATGCATGGTTGTAGATCAACAACCCTTCCAAGTGTGCGTAAATAGCTGAGATTTATCACAAATGGTGTAAAGAACGACTATGTCAACAGAATGTTAGCATCGTATCTGGCTCATATGATTCTGAAATTTACCACTGCAGAGCACTTTGAGTGACTAAATGTAAACAACAGACAAAAATTTACTGTAACGCACAGAAATTTCAGAATAGTCACCTGAAAAACAGGATATTCACTTTGGAATTTCATACATTCCATGAGATATTATGGAGCGATAATTTAAAGGCAAATGAAGCGAAGTCTCAGGTGTTGAAAGAGGAGATCAAGCAGAGGTACAAATTGGAAGGCGGCTTCTTGGTGAGTAAAGCTAGTCTGCATTCGCTCAGACTTCCAGAGCTTTGTGGATGCTACAAGGCACCGTGATGAAGGAAGAGAAATTAAAGTGTGACATTGGCTTGTGTGTGATATTTAAAGTCATCACCAGATCACCAGCACGATGAACTGGTGAATGTAGGAAGTTAAGCAGATAGCATCCGGAAAATTGATACGTAGCCTAGCAAATTAATTTGGAAGATTTTAAAG